ACGTGGGTGATAAGGTATGGCTACTTCGTCGCAATATCAAGACCACTCGACCTTGTGACAAATTGGACTATCGTAGGCTTGGCCCCTTTTCTGTTTTTGAACAGATCAACCCAGTTGCATATCGGTTACATCTACCGGAGTCAATGAAGATCCATCCTGTATTCCACGTGTCTCTTCTTGAACCATATAAGACAGTGGATATACAAGGAAGAAGACAAATGCCACCGCCTCCTATAGAAGTAGACAATAATGAAGAATTTGAGGTGGAAGAGATATTAGACTCAAGGCGGCGCCGAAATAAGCTGGAATATCTTGTTCATTGGTGCGGATATGATATTAGTGAGCGCACATGGGAGCCATCCAGGAATCTAGCAAATGCATCAGCTAAAGTCAAAGTTTTTCATCAATGACATCCATCAAACCAAGATGAAAATCTCTCTTATAAAAGAGACAAGATTGAGGCAAGATAACATTCAATTTCCTATCCTTGTTTGTAACTTCTTTGCATTTTGTGACGCTAATTAGATGGAGAGCCAACAACCAGCGGATTCAACTCAAGAACCTTCATTTGCTGACTTACCGGATGAGACATTGCGATTGTCACAACCTTCAAGACGACGCAACCGAAATAAAGACCCTCAAGAACGACATGTTCTTCCTCGAATAGATGGTGAGATACAACGCGTTTGGTATCACGACCTTGGAAGAGATTCTCGATGTTTGGTGATATTATTGGAGATAGGAACGACTCCTGATGGTCTTTCAAATCTATTATTTGAAGGAAGTTATGAAGGCCTCAACAGTGATCAAATAACAGGGTGGTCTTCTCGCCCTGGAATGGGACACTATCGATGGCTAAGAGGACCCATCAACTATCTTCGAAGAGAACAAAGATCAGAATATGTAGCAAATACAATTCGCCGCATATTAGATTTTCTCAATATATAATCACCGCTCCTCGTGGAACTCGTCCCTAGAAGGGGGGGTAATGTCACGGACATACATATAATTACCTATATGAATAGATAAAAGTATGTAAAAGTAGGTTAATTGTGTAATATCTTCTAGAGAAGCTTCTTAGAAGCTTCATAGACGCTGCTTTGACTTTATAGGAGTCTATAGTTGACTTTTAGGTTAGAAACTTGGTCAACAAGTTAGCCATGTGCCACGCATGTTGGAAGCTTAAAGAACAAGCTAACTACGTGGTCCATCCATAGAAAACTTGCCTTGCAAGCAAAGGCATGTGGCCTAGAAAGTCAACATATATTGGAGGTCTTATAGAACATCGCCACGTGGCTTCTAGTTAGATAGTATATATAGAGGCAAGAGTGAAGCCCTCTTCACTCTTGTCAACTCCTTTCTTGCTTCTAGTCTAGTTTCAAGGGTCTCTAGTTTTCTTGTATTTTGGCAATAGCCATTCCAGTTTCTTTCTTAATATACATATTTCTATTTTGTCCTATTTCTTTTTGAGAAAAGTCTCACTTACTCTTTAGCTTTCATCGAGTTCTTGTCCTTGACAATCTAGAAGGTTTCAAAAATTTGTAAAAGATTCTAAAAGGTCCTAAAATGTGGTAATTTGGAATATGTCTATGCCAAGAATTGTAATTAAGAATGGTACTTTTATAGCTACTAGTAAGTATTAATGATGTCATTAGATTAATAATAATATTATTATAGTAAATTTGATGATGATAAAATATTGTAAAATTGAGTAACTAATAGAATTCAAAAATTAGACAGCACACTCAAAAAATTATTTTAATACTATTTCAAATTAAATTGGTCAAAGCTCTGCAATCATCTAATAGATTCTTTTCAATGTGGACTCATTTGGTAGCTATAAAGAAGTACTTTATTTGCTATATAATCCACATGCCATTATTTATTACAATTAATTTATAATACACTATTCTTTTTAAAATTTGTCAATATTGAAACAATTTTTTGATTCACTATATTTGTCGAGTTGGATTCAAACTTTTCTAATAGTTATTTTATATTCTTAACTACTTTTATAAAAAAAAATTAACTATAAATTCATTATGGATCTTTAGATATCGCCTAATTTCTTGCAAATACTTAACATATCAATTTTTAGGTACCTATGCACTAATTCCATCATATCTCAAATATCCAATGTTTAAAAATCATGATTTTTTTATATAAAACTTTTTATTATAGCCATTTACTTTTGAAAAAAATTTGGGTCAAAAATTCGTCCAAAAATACAAAATGTGGCTCAAATCAAAACTTCTATGAAAAGAACTTACTTAAAAACTCTAATTTTAATGTATTGACTTCTACAACTCTTTTTTGTCATTTTAAATTAGAAGTTATCAATTTCTTCATAAAAAATATAGCTCTTTAAGTCAAATTTCCAATGCCACCTATTAATTATTAAATGCCTTCTTGGAACTCTCTATATGCTTATAAGAGTAACAATAGGTATTCAAAAATACTCCCTAACTTTAAACAATCATATCTTTTCCATCCAAAATCCAAATCACATATTTTTTTGATCCAACTTTTAATCCAAAATACAAGCTTTTTGAATCTAATTTCCAAACTTTGAATGGATTACCTTGCCTTAAATAATCTATCTTGCCTCAAATAATCTTGCCCTAAAGTAGTTCCAAATTCCAATGTGGTCCTAAACAACATCTCAAAGTCTATTGGGCATGACTTTCAATCAATGAAAATGAAGTCTTCTATCACTTATCTTATCCACCTACATGGAATGGCTTAGGAGTCAAAATATTATAATTTTGGCATTAAAATCCTTCTAAATTCTTTATTAATAAATCCTAAAACTTCTATATTTAATTACAAAATTTAAACTATAAACTTAAAAAAATTAAATAAGTATTTTATTTTATTTATATCCATATTTATTTTTATTTTTAATTATAATCCAAACTTTCATAATATTTTATATTATTTTTATATATTATACTATTTTCCAATATGACATTAAATGAGACATTATGATTGTCACAAACTTCAAAATAATATAATCAAGATAAAGATCTTTAAGAACAATATGTCATTTTTCAAATAAATGGCAAGATATAATGTGCTTAGTATCATGACTTTAAAAGAAATTCCAATCTTAGAAGAGATTTTTAATATTTGGTGATTTTGTTTGAGGTAGAAACGATTCTTGATGGTATTTCAAATATTTTATTTGAAAGGAGTTATAAAGGCCTCAATAATAATAAAATAATAAGAAAATCTTCTCACCTTGGTATAGGACATTATTAATGGTTAAAAGACCTATCAACCATCTTTAAAGAGAATAAAGATCAAGATATGTAGCAAATATAATTCATGGCATCTTAGATTTCCTCAACGTAAAATGACTACTCTTCATGGAACTTGTTCTAGAATGAAAGATAATATCATGGATATACATATTTATTTCAATAATTATTTATATGATTAAGTAGAAATAAATAAAAGTAGATTAATTTCATAATATCTTCTAGAGTAGCTTCTTAGAAGCTTTATTGTCATGGACATATATTTATTGTAATAATTACTTAGGTGATATGAATAGGTAGAAATAGGTAAACTTAGATTAATTTCATAATATCTTCTAGAGTAGCTTCCTAGAAGCTTCATAGATGCTTCTTTGACTTTACATGTGTTTATACTTGATTGATAGGTTAGAAACTTGGTCAACAAGTTAACCACGTGCCACACATATTGGTAGCTTGCAGAACAAGCTAACTATATGGCGCCTACATATAAAACTTGCCTTGCAAGTTAAGATACGTGTTGTGCAAAGTCAACACGTTTTTGGAGGTTCTATAAAACGTCGCCACGTAGCTTCTAGGTAGATAGTATATATAGAGGCAAGAATGAAGCCTTCTTCACTTTTGTCAATTCCTTTCTTGCTTCTAGTCTAGTTTTAAGGGTCTCTAGTTTTCTTATCTTTTGGCAATAGCCATTCCATTTTCTTTCTTAATATACATATTTAGTTATTTCTATTTTGTCATCTTTCTTTGAAAAAAGTCTCATTTGTTTATTTATTTTTATCAAGTTCTTGTCCTTGACATTCATAGATATTGCTTTGGCTTTAAACGTATTTATAGTTAATTAATAGACTATAAATTTCATCAAGAAGTTAGCCATATGATACACATGATAATAACTTATTGAACAAGCTAACTATGAGGCACATATATAGATAATTTGCCTTATAAGTTAGTTCATGTGTCTAGTAAAGTCAACTCATGTTGAAAGTCTTATAGAATATTGCCATGTAACTCTTAGTCACAGAGTATATATGGAGGCAAGAATGAAGCCTTCTTCACTCTTACCAACACCTTTCTAGTCTTTAGTCTTGTTTCAAGATCTTTTAGTTTTCTTATTTTTGACAATAGCCATTTTAGTTTAATACTATATTATCTATAAGTGATTTTTTAGTCCTTTTGAATAACAAAAGAATGTATTGAAGATTTTTTGTTTTTTTTTTTTGTTTTGTTTTGTTTTGTTTTGTTTTTTTTTTTTTTTAAGGTTCATGTCCTTTACACTAACAACCTTAATTAATTAGTTATTTTTGTGGATAAACACTATTTTTTTATTTTTAAATAAGTAGATATACATACATGTCACATGTGGCTTAGTCACAAATTAATTACTAAAATTTTATTTGATTTAATTTTTCTATGAAATTTTAGCATACAAATTTTATATCCCATTGATAAAACCTAATTGTGATAAAATATTAGCTTTATTGTATTTTTTTAATTTTTAAATTGAATAAAAAATTCCAGTAATTTTATTCAATTCATAATTTTTAGGACACGCTATCATGAATCCATACATGGAAGTACAATTTGAAGAAAACAAGAAAAAGAAGCTATGTAGCGCAAGTGCAAGTCGATGACACCAAAATGAATGAAGAGCAAATGAAGTTTCATTCATTCATTCATTCATTTATTTATTCAAGTATTCATCCATTCATGGATGTACTTCCGAAGAGCGAGCGAACGAGTTCCGCAGTGCTCCTCTCTTCTTTTCGAAGTTGCGAGGAGGAAATCTGCTGCAGAGGCGGGCAATCGATGCTGAACGAGTCCCGCACTGTGATTTCGGAACTTCAGTGTCTCAGGATTCATGCGTTACCCTTTTTATTCTGAAATACTGCGCGCGTTTTCTTCATATTTCGGACTGGAAATGGTGTCCGCAGGTCAAGAATACAGAGGAGAAGAAGGCTGACGAGCTCACGTTCCGGGTCGCGTGCACTGACAAATTTTTTCGGATTTTTCCTGGAGCGTGAGCTAGGCAGCAATGGTTTGGGCTCTAAGGGCTGTAGATCCTGGCCACGGTAAGCCTTATTCTCTCTTCGTAGAATATCTGGTCGATGTCTTGAAAAACCTTAATTACAAAATGCGCCACTGCCTTGGTAACTTCGCAGAATTACGATTATGAACTATTTAAAAAGAGCATGCAGTAGATGTACCATTGTGTGTCTAGCTTGTTTTCGAAACGTTGTGTGGATAGGTATGTATTATGGTTTTAGGTGTTTTGGTCATTAGCTCATCGCATATAAGTTTTTACAGTCAGTATGACGGATGTGCTGAAATGGCTGCCTTACAGTACCTTCTTCATACTACCTCAAATCTGCGACCACATATTCAGTGGGGCGGAAAGGTATAGTTTTCATGCCCGAAAAACTATATTGATGTATTGTGGAACAATATACCTGAATTATCATTGGTGAATAACATTTCTGAAGAGACATCAAGGTAGTTTCGTATCTTTCGATCAAAGATTACACTGTATTCGGTGCAGGTTGTTACATAACTATTCAGACGGACAAGACAATATCCCGATTGCATGCTAATCTTATCACTGAGGAGGCAAAGGCGCCCAAAACAGACGTAAATGACGCAGCTAATGTTCCACGGATGCCATTGAAAGTGCACGATCTGTCGAAGTTCGGAACATTTGTGAATAAGCATCCTGGCTCAAAACCACTGAACTCCGTGCCACTGTGCGAGGCTCCATTGAACGATGGAGACCTTATCACATTTGGAACGAATAAGACATCTTTCAGGTTGCTTGTTTTGTTTTTCTCTTTATTGCTACTCTGTACTTTAAAAGCTAATCCATTGCAGTCTCAATTCAATATCTGGTTTGTTTTAGAAGAGGAATTTCTTAATAAAAAGAAAAAACCTTGATTCTCGTGTGTGGTGCATCTTGTGCTTGCAGGGTGGAATTCATCCCCTTCTTCCTCTGTCTTTCGGGTCCACTTTTGCGTAGAGAGAATCCAACCATCACATTTGCCCTCCGTCATGGTAATGTGTACTCTTATATACAGAATCATCTGCGTATGCCTAAAAAGCTATGACTTGGATCCAGTGCTATTGTGTGTCCAACATTAATTGAATCTCATCTATTTTTTGTAAATACTGGGATGATGGATTGTTTGCTTTGGTCTTAAAGATATAATTAGAGATAGCTGGCCGGAATACAGGTGGCTATTTGTTGCAGGATGATGTTGCTCTCCTTCGAGATTGTCCTTACAAAGATGGTATTTCCTACTTTTCGGATTCAGGAGCCTATGCAGTTGAGTTATGGAAAGAAGGGTGCACTCATGTACTGGTGGACGAAGGATCAGCAGTCACTAAGATGGTCATAGCGGCCGTTGCGTTCAGTAAACCAGTACTCCAAGTTGACTGGTGGCAGGTTGATCATTTGCTTACCCTCCTCTCTATATTTGCGTGGTGGCATTCAGTTCAATTAGTCGTTTACTTGTTATCTTGTACCATCATGGAAGTCCTCAGAGATGGTTGTTGGCTCCAGAAATTTTCATTGGAGACAAAAGCCGTTACAGAATTGCCGCCTTACAGCAGGTTCACGCTGACCTAATGAACTTTACATTCATACTTGTTGTTGCATTGATGTAATGTGAAGTGTTTGAACATTATTTTGAGCACTACAATTGGCTGGATCGAGAGGGTATAATCTTACGAATCTTTGTCTGGTTTAGCTTGTAATTTTGACAGCGACGTGCACATGCAGCTACTTACCAACCTTGGTTTTTCAAGGGACGGCGTCTTCCATTCCCGTTAAACTTGGATTGCCAGAATTTCGCCAAAGCATTTTACAGGATTACACCTTCTTCTTGGTTCCATTGGATGCTGTAAGTAACTGTTTCATCGACTGTTGTCTGCTTGTTGCTGGAATAACCAAGAGGCAATTAATAATTTTCTTGTCACAGGGCCTGTTCAGACTGTTGTAGTGCATATGCATGTCCTTTCCTTGATGCAGAGTTGAGCACTAGATATCCTGAGCTGCATCATTGGTTTTGTTGCACTTTCTGGTGCAAAAGGTATCCATATCTTTAAAAGTTAAGGACTCGCTCAGTATTTGTAACTCTCTATAAAATGTGTGCTTGATATTGGCAGTATGAATATGGGGATTATTTGATCCGGTTGCTAAGGTCATCTGGTGGTACAGTGGAGTTAATATCAAATACATCATCAACTGTATCAAAAGGCATGTCTCTTTACAATTGAATTGCGTTAGATATTGGCCTCTTTCACACGGCAGTTACGTTCACAAAATACTCGCAATAACCTCGCAGAATTTAAATGCATCTCTTTTAATAATTAGAGTTTTTCCTAAAATGAAACGGTTTAATTTCATCATTGTAGCATTTTGTTCCAATTTTCATATCATTTTTGTACAATATTGAAGTTGGATAAGTTTGGTGATGTACGATTAATTTCCCCTCCCCGTGCAAACTGAAACATGCGTTGGAGCTTTTGAACGCCGGAAAAGCTCAACTCTCTTGCAATGGACTTGAACGACAGGAACAAGGGAGCAACTGGTGGTGAAACCAAGAGACGGAACATTCAAAGAAGGCTGGCCAAGCTCAGCCTTCTTAAATAATGTCAGACACCTACCACGGACTTCAGAAGATAAACTAGTGCTTGCAGTGCTGGCGGGCAACGTTGGTGTTACGAGTTTGCATTTTCCTCCAAGTATGTCCTTTGCTTTTCAACAACATAATGTTGGGCCAAGTTCCTCTCTAACTCACTTTGTTTGTCTTCATCTCTCCCCTAGTGGATAGGATTGGGGAATTTGCTGCAGTCGGGGGCACTTACTATTTGCACAAGTGGATAGTCTAGTCATAAATTGATAAAAAACTTGAAATACAATGGATTAAGTAGTGCTACGTTACCAAGTACTGTAAAACTACAATTTTGTATGCATGTTAGCAACTTTCGTTTTACGCATTACGCTTTTCGACCTATTTTCATGAGCAAAACACTTCTCGAAAAATGAACGCAAGATAAACTTGTGCGCTGAATGCTTCTGCACCTGCAATTGAGTTTTTTAGTCTTATTTTCGTTTCTATCAGGCCCGGTTGCGAGCGCAGATTCGGATGAAACCAAGGAGGAGTCAGATGGAGATGAGGTTGGAGATTCTGCTGACACTCTCTCTTTCAAGGTAACATGCTGGACCGTTTATTTTGCAATGCTATGTGTGCTACCTTTGAAATGGTAACGTAAAGTTTATTTGGAGCTATTCATTAATCTTAATGTGTCTGAGAAATTTTCTTGATAATGTCCATCGATAATCACTTGTTTCTAGGTCGCTCTATTCGTTGAGCCAACCATTCATTGGGGATGATTCACTTTTATTATGGCTATGTACAAGGATGTGCTTGTGATTGACAGTGTTGTCTGTGCCAGGATTTTATACCTACGCTACCCTCCTCGCCACCAAAGGCAGGAATGCAACCAGTAGGCACGAGTGCTCACATCTCAATCAAACTTGACGAAGATGATTCGCCTATCGTGCAATATATGCGGACATCAAAGCGGAGTAGACAGCACGATGATTACAATGCAGAGCCGGATGGAAACACTGAAGTGCCTGATGAAAACAATGAAAAGCGTCAGAAAACGACTCATCAAGAATGTGTGTTAGAGACTCCAGGTTCAGATTACTCACAAGATTATAAGCCATTCTTGCACCCTAAAAAACCAAGCAAAGCTGCCAGCTCCGACCAAACCACAAAAGAGCGAAAACGGGCCACTATGACAATCGACAAGTTCTTCAGCCAACCTGAGGCAAATAGAGCTAAGAAGTTGCACTTCACGCCTGAAATTTCAGGTGGAAAAATTGATAAGGAATTGACAAGTCGAAATGGTGAACTTCCATTTGTAGGTTCGAGTGCGAAGGAGCCAGAGGTCGAAATAAAGCCAATGGCTGCATCTGCAAGTAAAAAACCTCCACGTTTGAATGAGGATTTGAGTGAAGCAGCTGAACCGCTTATTGTTTATAGCCAATTGGTGGTGAGAAAAAACGCAGAGATTGTGTCTTTTCCTACGACTCCAACTCGGGGATCCGGTCCTAACTTCAAACGTTTCAAGAAGAAGGTTGGTCTTTCATGCTTGGGTTGAATGAGCATGGTATAACAAGGTGTATGAGACTTTTTACTTTCAATGACAGGTTTTTAAAGAAAAATGAAATTGTAGATGCCGTCTTCATGTGTGATCTTGACCGAATTCAAATTACTTCAGTGGTGACATACTGTTACTTATCCAGTAGTTGATTGAGCTTTGAATTCTACCGGTAGTAAGCTGACGCAAGCTTATTCCAGGAACTTGGCCCTGGAGCATCTGGAAACACATTCGCTACTCTCGTTCCGTTTGCTAAAGAACCCTACAGGTGACAAGTCACTGTCCTAAACCGGACCTTTTTAGGTCTATATGCAGGGCATTAAATCTGTGCTTTATCTACTTACTTATACTTGCGACGAAGTAATTTCATCCTGTTGCATCTGGATTACGTGCTCTTCCTTTTTTGATTGGACAATAGTGTGATCTTAAACTCGTATCGATTTTGAATATGATTTCAAACTTGTATTCCTGTCATGAAAAACTTAAACCAGTCTGCATGCGTAGTGAAGGTTTGCATGTGATTTTTACAGGTTTTTGTTTTGTTTTTTTCTTCTTTGATTAGTCAACTCATTGTACCTGAAAGGTATCCCTATTTTGCTAGAATCCTGAATCAGAAATTGTAGCAGCTCAATGTAGACAGAGCCAAGTGCAAGTTTGGGCATGACAGGTTGATGACATTCCTGTTTCAAATTCAGTTTCTGAACTTTGAGATTAGAAAGTTGACCGTAGTGATTGTGATTTTGTTTGCAATCTAGGGAGTCCGATCTGGGGCGAGAAAAGAATGAATTCATGCAGGAGGAGCGAAGACGCAAAGAGTCGGAAAGAATTGCGGACGACTTGTTTAACAATGAAAAGGTGAAGTTCAGAGTCTCTTTCATCCCAAACAAGCATCCAATGCGATCATCAACTGATTTCACTACAATGACATTTGGTAATATTTTAAAAGCATGAAACTTTGAACTTAAGCTTTCAGAATGTTTATTCCTTCAATTTTCGCCATCCATAGGTTTGATTGACATATTCTCCTTGTTCTGTTTCCACTTTTAGAAGCGCACCACAACATCGAAATCTCGAGGTGGTGCAAAGAGGTGAATCGCATCAATTATGTAAGAAACATCCTGGCTTTATGCACATTCGGCACTTGGGGTCATTCCAGGAACCAAAAGGAGCACTTAAGATTAATTTTTTTCATGTAATTCTCCTAGTGTGACGATCGTCAGTCCCAGTTCTAGCTTAAATTTAGTTGTTTCAATTTTTTTTTTTTCTTTTTTCTTTCTTTTTCTATTTTCTTTCTCTCGAAGAATTTCAGCTTTGAATTGAAGCCACAGAGCAGTTGCCTAAAACTAGATAGCATGAACAAGCGGCAAAAAGGCCCTCTTTTTTAAACAAATTTGATGATAGAGCAAGTTTGTACATTGAATGTTCGAAATACAAAAATATGTAAATTGTATGTATGTGACTTTAATTGGTATGTGAAAATTCGTCAAATAATGCTTTTGTCTCATATACCATTTATTTATTTTTATTTCTAAAAGCATTTGTTTTTGCTTGTGATTTTACTTGTATTTGATTGTAGTGTATCTACATTAATAATGACATAAATAAAATGTGAAGGTTTAATTTTATTGTTTTAATTTTTTTTTTGTAATAATTTTATTTTTCTTATTTATTTATTTTTGTTGATATGTGTAATATTAGTTAGATGTTGTCAATGCATTGCTAATATATTAGAGGTTGGTGTATTTTGGTTCATATTGCATAAATGAAGAAACCAAATCAAATTAGATGGTTTGATTTGGGAGGTTAAAATTTATTTAATTTAAATTTAAATTAGTTTTTATTATAGTCCAAATTGGTTTCAAATCAATTTAGGCTTTATAACATTATTGGTGATTATTATTTCAAATATTTCAAATTAATATTCTATTTCTACAAAATATATATATATATATATATTGATATGGTGTTATTATATTTTTTTTAGTCCTTGCTTTTTGTTTTCTTCTATTTCTTGCTATTGATAATCTGTTAATAACATGAATTGGAAGAAAATGCATAAACCTGGAAAATCTATGATAAAAAAAAAGTAACAAAATAACAATAAAGTAATATGTATATTAAAAAAAACTGAAATGGCTATTGCCAAAAAACAAGGAAACTATAGACTCTTGAATCTAGACTAAAAGTAAGAAAGGAGTTGACAAAAGTGAAGAGGGCTTCATTCTTGCCTTTATATATACTATCTAACTAAGAGTTACATGGCGATATTCTATAGGACTTCTAATATGTGTTGATTTTGCAGGACACATGTCTTAACTTTATAAGGCAAGTTTTTTATATATGAATCACATAATTAACTTGTTCTTCAAGCTATCAACATGTGTAGTACATGGCCAACTTATTGACTACATTTCTAACCTAAAAGGTCAATTATATACACGTATAAAATTAAAGCAACATCTATGAAGCTTCTAAGAAACTTTTATAGAAGATATTACGAAATTAACCTATTTTTATATAATCATATAGATAATTATTGGTTTATATGTATATGTCCGTGACATTATCTTTCCTTATAGAAACAAGTTCCATGAGGAATAATCTTCATATATTAAAAAAATCTTAGATACAATAAATTGTATTTGCTACATATTCCAATCTTTGTTCTCTTCGAAGATAGTTGATAGGCCCTCTCAGCCATCGATAGTGTCCCATACAAGGACGAAAAGACCACCCTATTATTTGGTCGTTGTTGAGGCCTTCGTAACTTCCTTCAAATAAAACATTTGAAACACTATTAAAATTTTTTCCTACCTCTAATAAAATCACCAATCATCGAGAATCTCTTCCAAAGTCGTGATACCAAACACGTTGTATCTCACTATCTATTTGAGAAAGGACATATCATTCTTGAGGATCTTCATTTTGATTTTGTCATCTTAAAGGTTCTAACAATTGCAATGTCTTATCTGGCAAGTTCGCAAATAAAAGTTCTTGAGTTGAATCTACTGGTTGTTGGTTCTCTATCTCCTTAGCGTCACAAATACACAGAAGCTACAAAAATAAAATAGAATATAGAAGGTAATCTTTTTTGGACCTTGTTTCTTTTATAGCAAAGACTTATTATTCTTTATCTTGGTTTAGATGGATGTCGTCGATGAAAAGCCTCCACTCCCTTTATTGTATTTATAAAATTCTTTAATAGCTCCCATGTGTATTTATTAATATCATATCTATGCCAATAGACAAGATATTCTAATTTATTTTGGTACCACCTTGAGTCTAAAACTTCTTCTACTTCAAATTCTTCATTATTATTTATTTTTATATTAGGAGGTAGAATTTGTCTTTTTCTTGATATCTTCATAGTCTTGTATGGTTCGAAAAAAAACACGTGGAAGATATGATGGATCTTCATTATGTCTGATAGATGTAATTGATAAGCAACTAGATTGATTTGTCTACAAATAGGAAAAAGATCCAAGCTTACAATAGTCCAACTTATCACAAGGATGAGTAGTCTTGATATTACGACAAAGCAACTATATCTTGTCACCTACATTGAATTGTGGTTCCTTTCAATAGGCATTTGCATTGAACTTTTGTTGTTCATGAACTTTGTTTAATTGCACCTTCATTGTTGTATGTAACTATAACAAACAATTTGCCAAACCTTTTGTTGCAGGATTATTAACTTTTAAAAAGTCAAAAATATCAAGTCATGGATGGTAACCATAATTGACAAAGAAAAGTATTTGTTACATAGAAGAATGCATTGTATTATTATAAGCAAATTCTACCAATGGCAAGACGGTTCTCCAATCATCTTGTTGATAATTGATAGTACACCTTAAGTATTGCTTTAAAATTTAGTTCACGTGCTCTATTTGAGGATGAAAGGCTGAAAAAAGCTCTATGTCGACCTTAAAAATCTTAAAAAGAATTATCCAAAATCTTGATACAAATTGAGTCCTCCTATCTGATATAATATCTTTCGGCAATCCATAATATCAATAGATATTGTTAATGAAAAGCTTGGCAGTTTCTTCACCTATGATAGATTTTGTGTATGATACAAAATGTACTATTTTAGTAAAATAATCTACTATTACAAATATAAAATCACATGATTCTAAGACTAGAAGATCCATAATAAAATCTATAGAAATAGAAGACCATGGTTGTTTTGGAATAGGTAATGGTTGAAGAAGTTAATAAGGTCGATGCCAAGGAATTTTTGATCTTGAACAAATCTCATATGATTGAATAAAGTCTTTTGCAACCTTCTACATTTACAGCCACCAAAAAATTCTAAATATTAGCTCTAGAATCTTGTTGTATCCAAAATGTCATGCTGCTTGAAAGTTGTGACATGCTTGAAGAATACATAAATGTGCTTTTCCTTCTAATATATATAGAATTCATTTGAAATAAAGTAAGTTGTTCTTGAACTCAAACTTAGAAGTATGACGAGATTTAGAAGAAATATTCTTGATATCATAAACAAGAGGATCAAAAGACATACTTGAGTAAATTTGTTAAATTTTTTTTGAATCAACAGTCAATGTTGATTTCACTGCTCATAGATGAAATTGTTTTGGCTTCAATAAAATTGTCTTTTATTGATTAAAAGCTGCATCTCTTTTTTTAGGTATAAAATAAGAATGTCTAGAAAGAGCATTAGACAAACCTTATTGTTTTTGTGGTCGATAAGTGATATTGAATTCAAGTCTTGACAAAAACATGCTCCAACAAGCTTGGCAAAAATTCAAAACATGAACTGATATAATATACTTGAGGTTCTTATGATCCATATATATAGTGACTGGACTGGAAGTTCTTTCTAAATAATCATGCCATTCTTGAAAAGAATCCACAATTATAAAAAGCTCTTTGTCATGGATCTTATAGTTAATCTTGGCCGCTAAAACTTTTCTTGAATAAAAATCTATTAGGTGAAGTTTATTATCTATTCTCATTTGTGATAATGTAGCACCAAAAGTAAAGTCTGATGTATTTGTTTCTATAAAAAATGCTTTAGAAAAGTCAATACAATACAAGATTGATACAAAAACAAAAATTGTCTTTAAAGCTTGAAATATTGCTTCTACTTTTTGATTCTATTGAAGTTTTGTCACAGACACAGAAATACAAACTTGAGATCTAAGAAGAAGTTCAAGAAGAAGTGGCAAGAACTAGATTAATCAGATGAGAACAACACCAAAGAGGTGAACTAGAGCTCCAAGAGATATATTGTCGAGACTGAGGAACTCTTCAGCCTCGATTCCAATATATACTCCTATTTAGGAAGCTTCTCAAGCAACTTCTACCAACTAGGAAGCTTCTAGAAGGTTCCAAAGACTTGCTTCTAGAAGGTTCTAGAAACTTGTCTCAAGAAGGTTCTAAGGACTATGTCCCTAACATCTTCTACCAACTAAGAAGCTTCTAGAAGGTTCCAGAGACTTGCTTCTAGAAGGTTCCAGAGACTTGCTTCTAGAAGGTTCTAGAAACTTGTCTCTAGAAGGTTCTAAGGACTATGTCTCTAACATCACCCCCTCCTTTAGCTTCGAGGTCTCTGAGAAGTAATGTTGTTGATCACTACCAACGGAAGAAAATGAAGATCTGTCGCATAGCGTCTGCTATGAACTCCAACTGTTGTTCACGAGGCACGTGGTTCATCGGCCCTTGAAGCCAACAGTAATGGCCCACTCCTTCAACTTTTGACCAAGCATGAACTTCCGTGTCTTCATTATGAAATTGTCCTGCAAATACGTCTTCTAGCTGACCATCGTAAGTAGACTCGGACTCAAATACAATCACCAGTGATCGGTTACTCGGTATCCTCCGTCGTCGTCATGGTGTAGGCGGTTCTTCATCTCGGGGTCGCCTTCGTGAGCTAGTCGGTTGAGATAATCTGACTGGCATAGTATCTATCTCTTGGCTATCCATATCAGAATACCAGACTATGGCTACTGAAAAAATTCTATTTTATTTTGGAGAAAATAACTACATCAACTACGAATTTTGGTGGTACTCTCTTCTTTTCTTATATTCTTGGGTGAGCAAGCTTCAGAAAGAAGCTATCATCGAACCGGCTTAGATTTATGAGGATGTTGTTGATGAAACTCTTGTATCTTTTACAACGCATTGGCGAGATTTTCAGCTGGCTCCTACGTTCACTCATTAATGTCATAGCCGCACCAATGAACAAGATACTTTAACTTGCTCCACCTTCGCCGTGAATCCAGTACCTTTTCAACCTCATATTCTTTGTGGTTCTCCATCTCAATACTAGGTGGCGGACATTGTACTCTTCCAGGAAAAGACAACTCTCGATAAGGCTGTAACAAAGAAACATGAAAGACTGGATGTACCTTCATAGAAGCCGGTAATTCCAGACCGTACACCACAAGACTGATTTGCTTCTGGATGATAAATTGTCCCAATCTTTGATAGTCAAACTTATCACAT